TGTTAAAGATATCGAATTTCAGGGAAAAGAAACCGGTCCTTTGAGAGAATAAAAACTGCCCTTTGAGAAAATATTAGCCGCCTTTTGATTTTTAAAAACTCGCTCTTTGACCTTTTTTAGTGGCCGCCCTTTGACGTTGGAACGGCTACATAGTGAGAAATAAATCAAAGTGTTGCCGAAGTGGAGGCCGAAGATGTGGCAAATGCTCTCAGAGCCGCGCTTTATTTTCATATAAATATAATCATAAACTTTGAAACCCTTTTTTCCCTAATATCTTTCAAAGCCGCGTATCATGGAATAAGTTATGGATGATATCAATAACAATGAACCCATAATGATTTCTCACTGAAACAGACGTACTTGCACTCTTTAAAAGACGGCAAATCGAAGAAAGAACCAGGAAAGACGAAGAAAGACATGGCTCCGAATTACCACTGGAAATATCAGAGTATCTGGATAGTACGCCAACATATGAACTCAAAGAAAAGTTTACAAGATTTAAAAACAGGTCGCCAAGTACAGGAACGACAGCTGGAATAAGCAACAACAAATCAAGATAGTAAAAAAAAAAAAAAAATGCTATTGTTCACGCGTGTATATGTCATCTTGTTCGTGAACAAATGAGCCGATTTTGAAGCGTGATTATCAAAATGAAAACAAAGGCTATTGTGACGGAAATACACAGGTAAGAATCATTACGCAGAATGGCAAATGAAATGATTTGTATTGACATTACTACTGTCATGTCAGATTTATTTCGATTACTTCCAGTCTGTACCGGAAACGTACGACTTTGTACCATCATTTTTAGCGGGTAGTTTATTTTAAATTCAGGCAAATATAAGCTGTTTCAGCTTGGAAGCGGAGAGTGAGGTGGTAATAGACACTAACAGAGGTGGCAATCCTGAATGAAAATATCAATTGTCTCAATAAAGACACTTGATGTGGTTCTCGCGATACTTTTGTAAGCCTACGTAATCGTTTCGAAAGCTAGTTATCTCAGTGATTTGTTGAATCAGAGCTTTCAAATAAAGTATCAAACCGCAACCATATTACAATGATTATCCCACAGTAAACTTAAAGTATAAGTAAGAGCCACTCTTTATCAATAAAAGGACTAATTCAGTCCTGCTACTTTTATATTATCACACTGTGCTCTTGTAGAAAAGTGTATATGGCTTCGAAAAGCAAAGCAAAGTTGAATTTTAAAAAAAGTTTGGATATTTTTGATAGGTTGTGTATTTAATAAATATAAGTATGGACAGAGTGAGTAGGGAGGAAATGAGAAAAAAAGAGAGGGGATGAAATGAGGTATTTAAATTTGCATGAATAATGATACAACAAGATATCCATTTAATCCAATTAATAGCAAGGCTACCAGGACTGATATCACTTTGGTTACTTTACCATTAGCATAAACAAGTGGTTCAGGCAATGCATCTATAGTCAAACGATTATTTGGCTTTTCTTCTATTGAACTATCAGAAGAAGGCCGTTCTTCTTCTTCTTCTCCTTGGCCACTTGATTGAACAAAAAAGTCCTTTACTGCCCGCTTATTTAATTTGCTAAATTGAGGAAACCGTGTCCAGTCAGATTTGGATCTTGAGAATCTCAAGCGAGAAACGAGACGGTCAATCAGGGACATCTTTGCTTGTTCGGTAACAAGTGGAATCGAGTCAACCTCTTTGCCTTCGACCACCAAGTCCAGTTTCATTGTCGACCTTCTTGATGTTAGATAAACAAGGGGCACCACGGCAAATGGTAATTGAATACTTAGTGCTACCTGACTGGCTACCAGCATATTACTTAATCCTGAACGACCAGCAACACATGCTGCGACCATTGCGGGTGTAATAGCAATTAGTCGTGTAACTATACGACGAATCCATGGCCTTGTTGTCATACCCAAGAAGCCACTCATGATTACTAGAAACAGCATAAGTAAATCATTTCTTTTGATGATAGACACTATCATTACCTTGTCCTGCTAATGTTGCTGTCAATGTACTTGATTGGCCTGCGCATAAGAGAGCAAGTGCAAAAGTGACGGCGGCTGGAGGGCCGAGATACTGTAAGAGGAGAGCATGTGCACTAAATAAGTCTTGTATTTGTTGTTGTCCCTGGCCGCCTGACGTATAGTAGAAATTGGCTGATGCAACAATAAGGATGGAACAATTAACAAAAAAGGCAAATGTAAGAGCAACAAGCAAATCCATGAACCCATAATGCAGGTTCTTTTTCAAAGAGCGATCAAGATACTTTCTGACACTTTCAAAGTTGACTTGGCCCGATGAATCGACAGGAATAGATGTATGCGACATGATCATTTCCAAGGGCGTCATATTTTGTTGCACTGGCTTATTTGGTTGCAGATCAAATTGATTGCTCTTCACTATCCATTGTTCTCCTCTCTTGGACACTTTGGGCCTGCTTATCTTCCATTCACGGCATCGAGACTGAACAATAAAACTGTGTAAATAAAGATTATGAGGCATGACTTTTAAGAGTAAATTGAGTAAAATGTATGAAAGGTAGCTTATCTTTTTCTTACCTGTAGCACCAATAATACCAATGGCCACATACAGCACTTCAGGCTCCGTGAATATTTCCCTTGTTGGAAGAAAACCTTTAAAGACGTCCACAGCAACGATATCTGAATAGGCCAATTCGATGATAAAGCATATGCCTACAGCAGCAACTAGCATCATGACAAATATCTCAAAAATGCGTACCATTCTTCCTGAAGTCGAATTTTCATCATCTTCTACATCTTCATTATAAAACAACAAAATGATGAATACGTCCACTGCTGTAATAGCAACACCAGCTGGTAAAGGTAAACTAGGAAATAGCAAATTTAAAGCAATGGCTGACCCAATAACTTCAGCAATATCTGTTGCAATAATAGCGATTTCAGCCAAGACATACAAGAAGAGATTCAACCATTTGGGAAAGAATTTTCTGGAGGCAGAAGCTAAATCGAGTCCGGTTACTGTGCCCAAACGAATGGTTAAGTTCTGAAGGAATACAGCAATGATGTTGGAGACAAGAATGATAAACAATAATCTATATCCAAAAGATGATCCACCCTCCATATCTGTTGCCCAATTGCCTGGATCTAAACTGATAAACAAGGCTCACTGTTAATACATGGCTTTTATAATATACAATAAAACATACTATCCAACAGCAATCATGAATCCTGGGCCTATAAACTTGCCCAGTGTCTTCAAGTACTTTGTGATCCTTCCAAATGACTTCAACATTTGGGAGTTGAAAAATAAAATAAAAAGAATGCAATATGTAAAAATTAGTGAACAAGTATTAAAAGGATAATTTAGACTCAGTTAAGACTCATCCTTTGGGCGTGGACAAGATGAATGGTCACTACAAGATGGTCCTACATTTTTTTTTAGAAAACCGAGTGATTGGAGTTAGACCTAGTGAACAGTGTGAGAGTGAAAGTGAGAGGGTATGAAATTGACTGCATAGAAGTATTACACATCGTTTCAAGTTTAAGAATAAACAAAGATGATCTAGCGTAAAGATCTTTTAAGATTATACTTGTAAAGTTTCAGAGTCTGCAGTTAACCATTTATTATAGAGTTTTATGGTCACATCATGTTTAAAATATTCTCGTTTCAACGTCAAAATTTCAGTCTCATCATCATAGATCACCACTGACTGACCTTATTGTTTACATGAATGAGAGACTTGCCTGGGCTATTTGGCCTTTCGGTTGGTTAAACGGAAATTTCGTAGGGAGAATAAAATAACACCATTCCCTTGAGCGATTTATATGAAGATTATGAAATATGTATATACAGAATTTCATTCTTGTTTGGGGATTGAGAAAGCATTGTACCATCAAGATCATCCGTGAATGTCGATATATCAACTGATAATTCTAAAAGAAGTTGGCGTCCTTTTGGTATGTACAATATCTCAAACGTAAGAACTTCTTTCTGCATGCCAAGCACTGGGTATAATGATCAAGTCTTTTGCTATCAGCGTCATTATGCCTTGGGGATGATAGAAACAAAAATACAAATTTTTGGAAATTTTCAAACGTTGTGTAATAACAGCCACGTGTCAAGCATTTGAATAGTTCAAAGAGTTTATTCTATCAAAGTGAACTTTGCGTTACTGCTGTTGGTATACATTCTTTTGACCATCATTGTCGCTTTAATCATATCGTTAAGCAATGCGTGCAAGAAAGACAATTATCTAAAGGCCAACCTATAACTGATAGATCTTGTGTAAGAATGAATACATAAGACACCCAATCCAATGTTTAAGTGGCTGTTTCATTTCCCGGATTCACTGGTTGACAGCGTAGCATGACCGCAAACTTGTCTTCCTGGAGGGATATGCCTTGATTACTGACCCACGCAAATTCCTAATTTAAAGATGTCTGATAAACCGTTGGGTAAGCGTATTGCAAGTATAGATCCAGCTCAATAATCTGAATGAATTGAAAGCAGGTATTAATCAAGATACTTTTCTCAAGCTTGTGCGGCCAATGACCTAAAAACGTCAAGCTATAATGAAGAAGACTATATAAAATTTTAAAAACATAAAAGTGTAGTAGGAACAAGACATTGTTTATACGACATCCAGTTCAAAGTATAAACATCTATCTGGCTCGCAGACTAACATTTCTTTTCTTCCTTTAAGGCACAATCATATAATGGATCTAAAAATATATATTGTTTATTATAGAGTTCAAGGTCACTAGTTAACCTTTTTCTGCCTCTATGCGTCACTTCCTCGCTATGAGGAATGCTCTTGTATTGATACAGTCCATTGCACAATCATCAATACCACCATGGATTTTAATGAAGATATTCAAGCTTGTAATGTAAAAAGAAATATGACGTTATCCAACTATGATAGGCCACGGCTAGAGCTAGAGGTTATTTGACTACTTAGATTAGTTACTATTGGCTACTTCCACTTCATTGTTTTTTAAGCTGACGAGATTGGCTGAATTTGAAAAAAATAAAGAAATTTTGAACTATCTTTTTTTCCCTTTTTTTTTTCTTATAAACTAATACCATGTCGACTCTTGACTCCTTCATTTCAAAAAGAAAGCAACACCAAAGACGTGATACGGCAACAACGACTAATAAACTAGTCAAAGCGTCTATCAACCCATCTATTGCTTTCATTGAACCACAACTTACAGATCTCTCACCAGTAAAACCATCACCAGTGCTGATAGGCAATAAAAGCAGCAATACCACTCATAAAAAGAAAAAGGCAGTAAACACAAAGAAGCAAAATAATACTATTACCAAGTATTTGATACCAAATTCTTCAAATAATAAAGATAAAGAAACAACTGAAGAAGAAGAAGAAGAAGAAGAAGAAGCGATTATTGCAGTTGTACGTAAACCAACACCACATGCAGATATTTGGAAAGAATTATTAATAGAGTACTGTAATGATGATGAAGAAGAAGAAGAATGTAGAATTTATACTGTTCGTGAACGAATATCTCATGCAGACATTTGGAACGAACTGTTGAACGCCTATGGTAATAACGACGAAGACGATGGTCTTGAAATAATGACTTCAAACAAGAGAAAGAATCAAGAAATTGATAAAATCATGAAGCGACAAAGAATTATCAGTAATGATTTGATTTATTATTTGAATGAATATTTGCATGTATCCACTAACAATGCAATGGTAGCTCCCATTCGCCCACCTGTTCGTCATAAGCTGTCGATTGAAGAGTCACAGTCATATGTATCTGATATTATGTGTAAATTTCTTTGTTAAATAAACTTAATACAGGAAGCTCCATATTTCTAAACCTATGCATTCAAATGCATTTGTCACAGTTAACGCAGGATTATCAAATGTGGCACATGGTTCGGTATAACCATGAAGAAGATCTGAGTGAAGACAAAGGCCAAAGCCGCCTTCGCCATTTCCTATGGCTAATATATCTTGATCAGAGTAAATCATGTGGTTGTTTTTGCTTGTCCAGCTATAGAGACACACTTTCTGAGCTTGTTTATTCCATAAAAAGCTATACTCATGGGTCAATTATATAGAAGGCATGACATTATGTCTACTTACCACTCTCCTGTGCCATAAAAACTAGAATTCTTATGAATAGACTCTGTTAGATAAGCTCCAAAGGTCTATCAAATATAAGCATTCTTTTTTTAAATATATATACATTTATATGTATATCTTTTTAATGTTACCTCGCCATAACTGTCGCGTATGACAAGTAAGCACGGTCCAGAAGATTCTTTGCACTTTTGGTATAACGTGTTTAAACTAGCACCATGTTGATCAAGACTATAAACAAGCGACCATCTTGATGAGATAGAAACCCTTGAAGGAATTAAATGACGAATCTATAATAACACGATGGGTTACTCTTTTGTTATGAATGAGAATTGTTACTCAATGCGCACGTTTTCAGCTAAATTTATGTCAAGACAAGGTATAGACTGCAGATATCGATTCAAGAGACAGACAGTGGCTATAGAATCAACACTGTCGTGGCGCTTGTGGTCTTGTTTTTCGACAGTATCCATAATAGGCTCAGAAAGACTCTTGGGGATCCTTTTGCATGATTTTTTTTTCAAGAGCTTTAACTGGCTTGTTGCTTCATGACAACGATCACAATAGAATTGAGTGCACTGAATGTTGAACGAGGTCAATGCAGTAGCCAGAGGGCTATTATACAGTGTGGGCATTTTATGTGTGATAAAATAAAAGAAAGAAAGAAAGAATAAATCAATTTCTCTTTTGCAGGCCCCTAACAAAAAGAAGGTTTGGGCTTCTTGTATCGTGAGAAATACTATTGTTTGAAGGCTTTTCTCATTCAATCCAACGGCTCATTGCGCACGCATTGATGTATGTGTATATAATTATACATTGCTTGAACCTTTAATTATTTCTATAAGCAAGTCAATGGGGCGGAATGTGGCAAACGCTTACTCTTTGTTAATTAACTCAGTCTTTGTATGCATTGGGTATAAATGACGTATTTCTAAACAACAGCATGAATGGATGACCCTCTCCCTTATTTATGCTGAGATAGAGTTGGTTCAATCTTTATTTTACTAAAGGGATCAGTGTAAGATAGACATCCAGCTTTGATTTATTTATTTTTTTAAAGGGAAGCTCTTGTTGACTTGCTAACTGTCAAATGTGTTATTAGCTTGTGTCAATGTGTCATTCACATCCGCTAAACTTGCAAAAAGATATTATTTGAAGCATAGTTTTGTTTATTGTAAAGATATTTTCATTGCTATTATCGTCTTTATCACAACTATGATACTAATTAAGCATGAAATAAAAGAAAGAAAAAGATAGCGATGAAGACAAGGGGAGGAGATGTAATGGTAAAGCACTCTTTCTTATTTCAGTTGAAGAACGCGAACAACACCTTTGCTGTTGGCAGAGAGCAGCTTGGAAGTATCCTTTTTCCAGCATACCGAACTAACAAAGTATGCAGGATCACTATCGAGCATCATTCTTGTCTATACAAAACACATAAGTAACTGCCCCTTTTTAAAGTATCATATTCACATACAGGAATTGCATCAATAGGGAACGTGTATTTGGCGATGGGCGCTTGGGCATGTTTGTGATATGCATAGACCGTATTTGTTTCACTTCCACAAGCAATCCAATTCTCATTTACGGATAATCCAACAAAGTTCTTTTCGTTCAGATGGCCCGTAAAAGTTCTCATGCAGGTAACTGTTTCTCTTTCCCATAGCTTTATTGAATTGTCTGTAGAACTACGAATAAAGTGAGTTCAACCTGATTTGTAATGATCTATACCGTTATACTTTACGCAGAGACAAGTTCGTTGTCATTAAGCCACTTGACGTATGAAACAGCCTTTTGGTGTCCGTGATAGGTATACAAAGGCAAGGTAGGATTCCTTAAATCGTAGCAAATGATGTTGTGGTCTATTAACAGTACAATCAGCAGTTATAAGCAAAAAAAAAGTAAAGTATTACTTATTATAGTCTATACCTGCAGTTCCAACAGCCAAATAGTTTTGGTTATTTGGTGCAAACTTGGCACAACAAATGTTGCCTTTATGAGGAAGGGTAAAAATCGAACGCGGGCTGTTCAGTGACCAAACCTTAACTGTCGTATCATCGCTACCAGAAGCCAACCAACTTGGATTTGTTTGACATATGTCTACGCTCCAGGCGCGTTTGCGATGCTCAGCAAAGGATGCCGTCTTTTGCCCTGTTCCAACGTCCCAAACACTGATGACACCTACATAATCCGAGCTGGCGATTTGCCCCTTGATATAAGGGCTCCAAGCAACACAGCTAATCTTGTTCTCACAAGCAATTCGGCGCACAGGGCAGTGCATCATCGTTCTACTTTCACCAGGACGGCAAGTCATTCTGAAATCATATATCTTGATATCTTTCAAAATGCCTCCTACGGCAAAGAGCTCTTCGTCTTTGTCAAATTCAATAGAAGATACAATGGACGTACTATGACTTGTGTCTGAATAATGAAGTGTGTCAAGTACATCAAAGCTACCGTATCTTGCAATTTCGTAGAGATGAGATGAGAAGACTTCCAGTTGACTATGTCCTGAAGTTTATAAGTTTAAAAAAAGAGAGGAGCTCTTTTATCATTTTATGTATTGCTTACTTTCATCTTCATCCAAATCAGCAGAGTTCGGAGGATTCATCATACAATAGTACAAACTCCTCAAGTCGCTAAACCTTTCATCCATACGTGAGACAACTGGATTCTCATTTGATGCAGAAATGTTGACATCTTCAAAGACAGATCGAGCACGGGAAGTTGATCTATTTTCTTCATTTTCAACCTCTTCTGTACTCTGATCCACAAGCTGTTGTTCATCGTCACGTCTAGTTAAATCTACAATATCCTATATTGAACATATTTGTTAAGGTATATTTTATATCAAACAAATAATGTACTTGCGGCAAATTTTCTCTTTCTTCTGCGTTGGTTATTAGAAACAGGAGTGGCCAATGGGGATGAAGAGGAAGAAGGGCCTGTGATTGAAGAAGGAGAAGTACTTGATTGTCTGTTGACAAGGATATCTAAATCAGCTACAATATACCTATTCTGTAGCATAAGATTCTTTATGGTCTATACATAGCAAGTTGTCGTATTAGATTTAAAGAACGTAATAGTCATTTAGACTGGTACCATATCATTGCTACTCTTCAATCTGACCAAGAATGTGTCTAATAGGTCAGCTTTCATTTTGGATTCTTCATCCTGCATCTTTTTCTTTTCATCCAATGCTCGATTAAATAAGCTGACAATATCTAAAAAGACATAAGATACACACATACATAAGGTTAGACGGTAGTTGAAACATACCTGAATAGGGTAATGAACTGGCAATAGAAGATGCTATAGATGAATGATCATTCTTGATTCTTCTCACTAGAGCTTCCATAGGATCAGTCTTAAATATTGGGATATTTCTTTCCATGACTTGTATTCTTAATTCAGCTAATCTATTTACTAAAAGGTATACGTATTAGAGTATATAAAAAGATGAAGAAAGAAAAGAAAAAGAATGAAATGGCTTACATTGAAAATTTGGATATATTTCATTTCTTGACAATCTCGATCTGCATAATGGACAATCAGACTGATATTTGATATGCTCACTTATGCATTCATAACTATATATTCATTTATACAAAATAGACATCCATTAATACAGATCCATTCTCTACAACATACAACACGCACACACGCACACACACACACACACATATATATATATATATATATAGATTCATTCTAAAATATTTACCAAAAGGAATGCCCACATTTAGTCGCAAATACTTCTTTCATTATATCTTGACATATAGGACTAAGTCATATTGTTCTTCATTTTAGATTGTGTTTCTCTTTTTCTTTTGTGCATAATGTTTACCAGCTTAGTTCATCATCCACTCTATCCATGTTTGCATAAGATAAAGATTGATTGGGGATATTGTTATGACTGCATCGGCGTGGAGGCTGGCTTAGTAACGATACAAAAGATGATACGGAAGCCGGAGGTGACTGTACGTCTGCTGAAGCAAGTGTTATAAGTCCAAGTGAATTATCATGTTGTTGCTGTTGTCGTAATCTCTGCCTTTGTTGGTCTTGTTCACCTTGGCTTGAATTTGACATTTGACACTTGAATAGAAAAAAAGAAAAGAAAAAAAAAAAAAAAAAACAAAAAGGGATTTTTTTTTCATTTACAACAAATAATCAAAACACGTCATTGGCTAGTTTTTGCATTATTTTTATTTTCCAAGTATTGGGTTTTTATAAAAAGGAAGAGAGGGGGCTAGGATATTATTCAACAGTAGATGCAGTTGCATTGACAACCGTTTCCTTGACAGCAGAGGCTTGCACTTCATCAGGAGTCTTGGTGACGCGGATCTTCTTGGCTGGCGAATCTAATTCACTAGGACCATTCTTGCGCTATTTTCCTTTTGTCAGTTTATCGTTTATTTAATTTTTTTTGATTTACCTTTTCAGGGCTTGATATGGTTGTCTTCTTGCCATCATCTTGCGTTGTAAGCTCCGAGGGCAGTTTGGACCTATAATTTTGAAATACAAAAAACGAACGAAAAATATAGAGAAATTAGTTTTAATACGTACCATTTTTATTAAAAGATATAATTTTTTTAATAGAATTTCGTTGCACCTTTTAATGGTTGTTATTGATATTTTCATCTGCTCTTCATCATATTTATCCCAAGCTTTGACTACTTTCTGGAACTCTTGTGCAGGCCAGACTAGGTTGAGTTTTCTTCCAGAGTCTGCTGCGGCAGTTTCGTTATTATCATTGCTTTCTCCTCCTAACACACATCAATCATCATTTTTTCTTAAATGTTTCTTTTTACTTACCAACTTTGGGCTTACTAATCTCTAATCCAATATAAAAGGTGGTCGTATACACTTTCTTTATATTCTTCACATCATCCTCCGTGATAACCTTTTTTTCTTTTAATAATTCTGTGTGATCTATTTCTAAGCTTCCTTCTTCTACTGAGATAGATCTGTCTTTTAGCAATACTCCTTTCATCGCATCCTCTACTTCTTTCTCTGTCAAGCAATAGTGAACTTTATCGAATCCCTTGACATATGGATGTGCCAATTCAATCATATCCACAACCTCCAGCTTCAATACTAACTGTCTCAGCTTTGCTTCCACTAAACCAGACCACATCAGCTGTGCCTCCGATGAGTGAGAGGCAGATGTAATTTGCAGATAGTGTTTATACTGATGAAAGAAGTCACTCTTGACAAACAGGTCCGACCATTTACCTGTTCCAAAGATAATATTGGATGCAATGTCAATTCCGTTTTTGAATTCTTGGATCATGATTTTCCTTGTTGACTCTGTCACATTGTGTGTGGCACACATGGACGGATAAGCTGGTGTGATAATGGGCATGCGATGACTTCGATCGGCTGGATATAACTATAACAAGAAAATTTAACCTATGGCTCAAGATCACTATTTTTGTTTTCATTTTACTTTAGGGTTCCACACACGAACTTGAAGAGGACCATCTTCAAGAGGTCGAAGCAAGACAGGCTGAGGCCATTTCCATTGGTACATGATCAAGAAAAATCGATTGACAATAGAAGCTGCACAGGCATTTGGATACAATTGGCATATACGAGCAGTAAGCATTGCCCAGGCAACACCACCCAAGAAACCCATGACGTTGGAGTAAATTGCTTTGGATTTTGCCCATAATTTGATTGTTCTCAACGCAATTCGAAATGTATTTACGTTGGGCACAAGTCGTAAGATGTCATCTGTCACTCTTGATCCGTTCAAACTACGGACACATCGTTCATCCAAGTTCTTTAGAATGTTGTTGTCTGCAAGCTCTAAGTTATCAGGTACTCTAGCGACTGCTAATCTGGCACAAATAAAATCAATCTAAGATCATGGTTATTTCATTCTTTGTCTCTCTTTCTATCGCTTTGTTGTATGTTTTTCTTTGTCTTACAGGTATCCCTGAAAAATGCATCTTGATGACAGGTACATAAGCGTCAGGAACAGCCTATACGAGTATATGTGGTCAATTTATGTGCTTTTGATATATAAATACACTTACAGATATTTCAGTCACTTCAGGACGTTCTTTCAGCATGTCATACATGATTGTAAAAAAGTCTTCTCTCTGCACGTGTTTTGGGAATACACATAGCGTATCAATATCAGCGCCTTTTTATAAGTCATGGTTAATATGGAATGAAACCTAGAGTTGATTTCTATCACCTGCTCCATGAACCCCAAGACGATAACTACCATAGGTAAATATCTTTCCTCCTGCTTCTCGAGCTAAAGAATCAGGGAAACCCTTCATCTTGCTCACTTTATAAACAAACTCTTTTACTAATTTGTTTAATTTTCCCAAAACAACCACTCTATAAAACATTAGTCTTGTTAATGATTGAATGAAATCATACCTCTTTTGTGCTTCTTGTTCACTTTCAAACAATCCATAGCTTTTGAGTGTTTCCAGTAAATCCTCAGTCAATTTGAGTTCATGCTCAGTAGGCGGATCAGTTGAAATGGGGGCTGTTACTCCATACTGAATAGGCTTCTCTTGGCTCATTTAATTAATTTTTTTTATTAAAAAAGAAAAAAGAAAAATCAGTCAGTTGGTGAAACGGAGACGAAAAATGTGATACACTCCCGCAGGTGGATTAAATCCACAAATTGGGTTGATCCCACCCCCAAGAAAAAAAATTGAAGATTGCTATGTATGCTAGCATAGAAAGATATGAAGAAAAGAAGTATTTTATTTGTTTTTCATTTATATATATGGAAAATAAAGCGTGGCTCAGAGAGCATGTATTGTGTTAGGCACGACACACAATTTATCAGAGTCTAATACGGGTAAACAGTCTTTAATTTATAATTAAAGCCTGAAGTGGACGCACGATAATAATAATATATCTTCTTCGCCCGAGGCAGGTCAAAAGAGAATAAAGAATTGGTAACTAAAAAATTCTTATGAGATCAAGGGTAAGAAGTTATTGAAGAAATGATGTTGAGCCAAGTGTAAGATACACTAGTGAGGAGAAGGAGGGAGTCAATTGAGAAGCTTTTGCCCGAGGTGAGGGGGCGAAGAAGGCAGATACTTTTGGTGATGGAGGTAGTCAAGTTCATGAAGTGTGCAGATAGCTGGCCAACGGAGGGCCCATGGGAGAGCGGCTTGAAAGGATTCAGAGTCTAATACGGTTAGACAATCTTTTATTAAACTCAAATGGGCACGTAGTATTTTATACTGAAATTGCCCAGGTAAGCTCAACAAGGTGGAGCGTATAATGTGGTGAGGGTGGGAAGGCGCTGATGGTGGAGGGGGAAAGCATACAATCTAATGGGGGTGAGTAGAGGGAGATAAACTAATCATTATAATTGGTAGGCTAAGACTTGGTGGTGTTAGGGTTCATGCTTATTTCAACCTGGGCGGGTACCGCAATTATTCATAATTTGTTTATTTCCAACGACCAACAGCCGAGAACCATAGAAAGCGTCATTAAAACCCTCAAGAGCAAGCTACTGGGAACGGTTTTGTGGGATTCGAACGCAGGACTTTGGCTTCAAATCATAGATTTTTGACCACTGAGCTAGGGGCATAGGCCCCTCAGAGTCTAATACAGTGTTTCCACTTTGAATTCAGATGATGTTAGTTTTCAGATTTTTAGGTTATCTTTTTTGGATGAATTCAATTTTCTTTTCAGACAGAAGGTTATGTTTTTTAGGCAGATGAGTAATTGATCATCCTGAAAGTATTGTGGGAGAGAAAAGGTGATTCAAAGCCAAGTTGCGGCTTTCTGAAAAACACTTGAATGTAATCAGTATCGCATGCCACTGCCATAAATTAAAAAATGATAATGTGAAGTCTATGACAAAAAGAAAGCTGTCCTGTTTTTAAGAGACAATATAATAAAATTTAAAAGATTAAATGTTGTTTTTTACAAAGTGAAAATAGATTAACTTTACGGCAGTTGTTTCCTGTCTTTCAAGAAATAGTCTTGAGTTTGTGGTCAAGAAGTAAGGCTCGTAGATTTTCGCTTTATTCAAATATTAGCATTCTTAAAAGGACACTTTAAAGCAAAAGTTGATTGCGTACCTAAAACACTTGATAATTGTTGAAGTAAAAAGGGATACATTCTAGAAGGTACTGATAAAGAGGAGGGTTCAGTTTTATATATATATATATATACTTGGCCACTACCAAACTATTTCAGGTACGTGTATGTAGCGTCTATTTTGTTGGAATATCGCTACGAATTTAGATGGCGTGAGAGTGCTTTCATAGTATCATCTTCAATAATATGTCTGCCTTGAGAACAGAAGCAAAGTTGTCTCAAGGATGAAAAAGAAAGAAAAGTCACTCCATGCCCCAAATTTGTGTAGTATTTTAGGCCTTACGAACAAAATATAAAGCCATTACAAATCTAAATCTGAAAATGTTGTTAATCAATATCATTTTTTTTCTCTTCTTTACTTTTTTTTGTTGTTCTTTAGTTTATGCGTCTAATATCTTAATTTAAAGTGAATCCTTTAAAAGTAATAGCCATCAAAAGCTCCGTGTCTGGGCTTGGATGGAAGATTGAGTACATACCAAGACTAAAAGAACTTGTTTCAACCACCAATACACTTGTCACACATACTTTTGCATTAACTAAAATCATGTTTATCAATGAACGCGAAAAGGGCGAATCATTCGATTTAAAAAAGTATTCCCAAAAGGATTTCTACGTCCAGGTTTTCACTTCGGTTATCAAGCAGCAAAGAAATACTCCTGTAAAGACGCTCAAAACAAGAGAACTCAGAGAATTGACTGAGAAGCACATGAAAAATATTGCCAATTAAGCGGTTACTCTCCAACACTCAAGAATTCACAGCAAATCGCAGCGTACGAATAACCAAAATCGATACGGCGTACAAAAATGCTGTCGCATTACAGTTCGGTAGTCGATTTCGTATGTTCCTCAACCAACTGACTGGGCAAAAAGAGAAGATCGAAAGTAAAGAGCAAGAACTGCACAGGGAGAAAAATCCCAAAAAGGAGATAAGTGACACCATTTACAAAGAAATTACGGAGCTTTGTAAACGCTTAAAGCTCATGCTTGTACCTGGAAACACTCAGAACTTGCTCACAGATATTTTGAATGGTGAAAAAGTTTCTCGTATCCGAAAATTCTTCAGCATCTACGGATCTAATTATAAATTCGGAAGTATTTATTATGATTGCAAATCAGAACCTCTCAATCACTTCAAGGCCTATTACAAGATGGCAAAATTATACGAACAGTCTGAACACATTCCTTAATTCTCTATTTATTCTTTCTTCTTTCAGACTTATAATAAAAACCGTGATTGTTAGCTATTGGCTCTCCACTGTTTTAAGATAATAAAAGCATAAACACAACAAATCTTAGCTATATCGTCGTAGCCAATGTAAATCGGTTTTTTAATACAAACAAATATCGACTCTGGAATGAGGATTTTAATAACAACGCAGTCATGAGGAAGATTGACATGAATAAAGAAGAGGCAGAAGTAATCGTCCAGATGTATTCTCCATCGTCTATTGAGTCCGTTGCTCTTGAAAAGTACTGGTTTTTGATGATGAGTTTTTCGCTGTTTATACACAATAACACTCAGATCGATAACTGCGCCGATCTTTCCAAGGTCAGCTATCAAGCAAGAGCAGCTGCTTTTACCAGAAGAAAGATAAGGTTTGGAAAGACTACTTCGAGTTGACATATAGGCTGAGATACTTGGAATTATTGGCTACTAGTCATCTTGGATTTGAAAGCTAGCGATAATGTGGACTTCTGGGCTTATGGAAAGAAAAAGTCTCTACTTGCTCTCTTTACTCGGGTATCAAAAGAAAAATCTCTACTTATCCAAACCACCCTCTCTCTTTGGAAATCAAACTATTGCTTACTTAAATAAAAGCCTCATTTTGCTACTCCCACACTTTAATTTTTTGTTCTTTAATTTTAATAAAATATATTCACTTGACGTACTTTTCTTTGCCTCTGATAATCCAAAGGAAACAGCAGTTTAATGATTTCTTCATATGCATCATTATGAAGCAATTTGGGGTAATAATTACTATATTACCTCCCATAGGTAGTTCTCATTAGCGACATGCCATATATTAATATCAGTCTGTGCTACACATGCTTACAAGCGTTCTTCTGGGCTCAGATTCACATCCATGTATCGTCTTTGAGCATTATGTCATTGAACTCTTTTCATTGACAGGTCGTATTTCTTGTATAGTAGATCTTCACCTAAATGTGTTGACGATCTATTGGGAATACAAAAAAAGAGCATCTTTCTGTATCTTTACTACCAAAAGATGGGCTCTTCTTGCTCTATATTTTAAAGAACTATTAGAAGAATGCTAGCTGCTTTGTTTGTATAAATTCTAATCATTTGCAAACCAAGTTATTTGCGCTGTTCTCAAGCACGAACTGAAAGATCTTTGACCAGATCTTGATAACGTAGTCTGTCTCCGTAAACTTGGTGTTGAAGGGGCTGCTCAATATTTTTTCTTCTTATACAGTAAATTCTCGATGATGGAATACTTATCAGTAGCACAAATAACATTGACTGTGAAGTCCTTCGAAAATTATATTTCAGTATCGTGAATGTTCCGTATTGTTGTATTTCGTAATCGAGAGTCTACTGTAAAGTCTTCAACCTTAAAAAAAGATGTATGAGCTGTAAAAAACACGCAATGAATAAATAGATTGCTTTCATAGCTACTTACACATAGGCATAGACTTCAAATTATGCTTCATTTTCTGTAAGGACATATTTAGTTTGATAAGAGAGTTTTGACATATGCTTTCTTCAAGTCTTTCACAATAATATTTTCAATTGTCTTCAGCCTTCATTGTACATCGTCGTCCAACTGATCCCAGCTCTTCTGCTTGTTCCACTTGCTATTGAGCTCCAACCACTCCTCTTTCGTAAAAAGATTGCGCTGGCCATTTCTTTCAGGACTACTGTTGGTTAGGTCGAGAATACTATTGAATCCATTGCAGATAGAACCCTTTTAAACATTATCCAGCTTGTGATATTGTTTTCCAGAGTATTTTGTGGGATACACTACATGTACCAGAAAGTACACCAGAAGTTAGACTAATGCTACGTGCGCTACCTCTACCCATTACCTATGATGCTGTTCAATGAAACTTTTGACCATTTTGGTTTGAGCTATTTTCAAGGAGGAGAAATAAAAAGAAATGTTGTTCTAATTTTATGTTGTCAGTTTGATCAACAAAGAACCAAGATCAATTACGTGTAATTATGCAAAGTTTGCATTTTGTATCAGAGAGAGTGAGCTGAACAGAGCTAGGCTAGGTAACGACTTTGGCAGTGTAAAGTTGTAAAGTGATGTCACAGATAGTGCATAGAGATAAGCGCCCGTAGCATGTAGTACTCACCTTATTTTATGATACAAAAAACTTAAAGACTAGTCAATACTTTGAGGCTCGTGTAGAAATGTGTAAATTTACATGGAAACTTTTAGCTTTTTAGTAGAAACCTTTTGATTCGGACTAAAAATGCCCTATAGTATCAACCAAGGATATCAAAAAACGCACATGTAATTGATTGAACTCCATATATTCCTGCGCTATATTCAGTTTTAATAATATTCTATGTGCTCGTAATGTTATCTATAAAATATAACATATTGGCATTACTGTAAGAGAGCAAACAGCGTCTTTGTTGACAAGATTTTATAGAAAATCTAAGGAGCAAGGATGTGTGTACTGGTATCACTTGAAATTGACATCAACTGAATGTGACTCTTTTATTCCGTCGCCTTCCTTCTCTTTTTCTTTCTTTCTTACTGCTTTATTCATACAATTCATATCTATGTCCTTATAGATCATTATGTAACACGAAAGACATCAAGACACTTCTTTGTGTTACTCTCGCTGGGACTGTCTTTTCATGCGCTTTATTTTTCCTTTTTTTCCCTTTTCTCTATCTCTTTTTTTTTTATACTTACTTGTCATCATGGAGCTCGATAATGATAACTTTGCTGTAAATAAGCATATTATTTCATAAAACATAATCATAACATATTAAATAGATGATAAATGATCCCGTATGCTCAGAAGACAGTTCTGTCAAGTTACTTTATTCAAAGTCAAAAGTTTATGTTCATCCTTCAAATCAAGTCCAAGACTTTGTACCAGGTTACTTGACGATTATTGATAAAGTAAAGAAATAGAAACTACACATAACACCATGCTCATATGTAAATAGATATCACATGGTCACTATGTGGCATGGACACCTGAAGCATGTATACCAAGCAAAGACGTCGAATCATTTGTTCAGATTGATTTTAACCCAGAAAATAAACAAGACATCCACTGTAATTTGAATCAACTATGTTATATTTGAATTATACCAACCATATTTATGAATAGCCTCAACCCTCGTATCTTCCTTACCAGAGTCACATCAACTCTACGCATTCTCTTCCCATGTAAATACTATTCAATCTCTCGTTATTAATCCACCCTCCTTTTCTACTTGGTATGGTCACATCGTTATCAACTTTAAAGATGGTCATACATCAGGCCCATTTTGGTTTCATGACGATGAAAGCGTAAGCACAATCTATCAAAAGAATACCCAAGGAGGCAAATTTGCTGAAGAGGATGAGCAGCTCAGATGGGGTGGCGATGAATTTGTCGAGGTGCTTTCAAAATCAATACCCGTAAGAAGGCAAGTAAAATAAGAAATAAAATAACTATTACTTATCCAAAGCAGATCAAGCAAGGATCCATGCTTATATATTATAGGTCAAGAGCCTATCACTGCTACTTCTCATACAAATAATGTATTCGAATCGGCTCAAATGGACCCATTTATCGCTGTCAGTAGTCATATACATGCCACACTCTTTTACTCACTCTTCTTCCATAGACGCTTAAGGAAGCCCGCTGGTCTATCCTTTCAACACTGTCCAAAGTGACCAAGTTTTCTCGAGAAGCTGCCAACCATCTCTTTATATCACAGTCTAATGACCTGACCGAGAACGAAACGGTTCGACGCACCATGGATGATTATGATTCAGCACGTATCTTTTTAGCAAAATGGGCGGCTGGGCTCGCAGATGAATCTGAAAAGGCCACGCCAGATGAAAGAAAGTATCGTCATGTCGGCATCTGGGGACATGGTTGGGAAGAAGAGACAGCATTGGGGGTATTTGAAATATTAAACGTAAGAAGGGGGGAATAATTGATGATGATGAGGGCACTCATCATACTTTAACATAGTCCGACAATGATCTTTCAATACCTACCCATACTCGAACAGGGCCTGTTTCTTCACAGGCCTGGAATGGTTTCTTTGACACACAAGGTAAACTAGCAGTGGGTGAGCCTGTAGTGCGTAAGAGGATATTTTGTGGTGGTGTCGTTCCTGAGATTAGAAAAGAAGTTTGGTTATTCTTGACAGGGGTCTATCCTTGGGATTCTACTAAAGAAGAACGACGGTTGATTGTCGAAAAGAAAATGTACGAGCATTTCTCTCTCCATTATACATGTACTCAATGTTTTTTTGTAGGAAAGAGTACGAATCATTAAAGAGCCAATGGCTAAATGATCAAGACTATCAAAGTACACCCTTATTTCAAGATCAAAAACATAGGATAGGTAAAGAATACATATAAAGATGAGCATAAAGCTGATATACTTTAAAAGATAAAGATGTTCATAGAACAGACCGTACCCTTGACCTTTATGCAGAGGAAAATATGGAGAATCCTAACCCATCGACAATGCATAGTGGAACGAATAAGCATTTGGAAATCTTGAAGGGCATCTTGTTGACGTATAATGTCTACAACACGACATTGGGATATGTACAAGGCATGTCTGATCTACTGTCTCCTATTTATGCTGTTATGGGCGAAGAGTATTTGGCATTCTGGTCATTTGTTGGCTATATGGAGCGTATGGTAAGGAAACTATCTATTCTTTTATATGTCCTTACTCTCTTTTGTTTCTTTAGAAATCCAACTTTTGCACTGACCAATCTGGTATGCATCATCAACTGCTCATCTTGGACCATATGCTTCAGTTTATGGACCCAGCCTTGTACAAACACTTGCAACGTACAAACAGTTGTAATTTCTTCTTCTGTTTTAGGTGGCTGTTAGTCTGGTATAAACGAGAATTTCCTTGGGTCGATATGCTCGTTTTATGGGAAGTGCTCTGGACGGATTACTTGACAGACAAATTCTATTTGTTTATAGCACTGGCTATACTTGATAAGGTTTAAATCAAAACAAAATGTTAAGTATACACTAATACTTGCTTAGCATCGTGATTATATCATTGAATACTTGAAAAACTTTGATGAAATACTTAAAGTAAGATGGTTTACCATATATACATAAGCTAATATTTATATACATTAGTACATCAATGATTTATCTATGAGAATAGATCTTCAAGATATTCTTCAACGTGCAGAGATTTTGTTTTATCAATTCAAACAGAGGTTAAATGCTGTCGATAACAAGAGAAATCAGTTACAGCAAAAGTTATCTAGCTCAACCATGACACGCCAACAGAGACAAGAAGTCCAGCAAGATTTACAAAAATTACCCTTGATTGATGATGTTTTGCGTGAACTTGTCAAGCAATAAAGCAGTTTATTGCAAATCCCACACATTGTTCAGCTAAAGGTAGATGTGATTTTGTCTTGTCCAGGATTGGCAGAGTAGAGAATTGAGGCATAAATGTTCTTCTAAACTGAGTTGATGTATTACCTGTACTTTTATGGAGCAGATGACTTGACATGAATAGAATACTTCCTGCTGGTATTTCTACTACTTGACCATCCTCCACAATGACCGTCCCGTTAAGTCTGTTGACATCATCCAAGGCAGTCCAGCAAGCAATTGTCACTTGATTTTTTATACTTGTATCATGATAATAATCAGAGTCTCTATGCCACGCAAACTGTGAATAGGACGACGACAAAGGTGGCTTGACGATGTATTGTTCATTCAGCTTTTTATACATAGTGAGCAAAACATGCTAGATTGTTTATTGCTTCTATTACCAAATAAATATCCTTTGAATCCAATAATTGTGATGCCCATATGGCGTATGTATCAAATAACAAGCTTGATACAGTTGCATGGTTTGATGGGTAGATACTATCTCTTATCTTGACATATTCCTGTTTATTCATTTTATATTCCTTTGTCTCGGGTATGTCAATGTAACCGCATGTCCAAGGTTCTATTATAAAAAAATAATGAGTTACCGTGTATTTGCATTATATGCTATTGACAGAAACCAAGCACACAGCCAAGATCTTTGACAAGATCTACTTGTTCTGACATCAAGTAATTTGCCAATTCATCTGCTTCATTATGAAGTAACTCTACTTGTTGTTTATCCAAAGCTATACAAGTGTATTTAGTCAAGAGCCCTCTCTCTTTGCTTTTATTTTTATTACCGCCCAATAAAATAGTGTACCCCTTTTCTTTAAACTCTTTACAGTGTCTGTCTGTCAACATGAGCTCCCAATAAACTCAGACCTTTGGGCCCATTCTTTTTTTTTTTCACAATGCGGACTTGCAATCTGTTATCAGAGAGATAAAAAAAATCTCTTTGCGGGGTGAACGGGGATAGGCTGAACACAAATGACTAAATATGGAACTCTGACTCATTTATGATACATACAGTATACACCTTAGCAAGATAATCACAAAAATATATTACAGAAAGGGAATCAATTAAGAAATAGTAAAGATAAATCCAAAAGAAAATAATGAGTACAAATGACGGAATGTGGACAAGAAGGATGATGTTTATGTATACATAAAGTGTGTTTAGGAAATGATCTCTTCATGTACTCTCTTTTGGTGCATACGTCGGTAGTTTAATTGATAAGGGTGATGTTTTCAAAGACAAACACACTATAAAAAGGTTTCGATTTTCATATCTTTGGCTTTTTATTCTTATTAATTATATAAAATGGTTGCTGATAAAGGAAAAGTACTTCTCGCTTACTCTGGTGGATTGGACACCTCTGTCATCTTGGCATGGCTGATCGAACAAGGTTATGAAACTATGGCTTACATTGCTGATGTGGGTCAAGAAGAAGACTTTGAAGCCATCAAGAAGAAGGCTCTTGCTGTAGGTGCTAGCAAAGTGTTTGTTGAGGTAATTCATATACATACAGTGGGATATCATGTATTTATTCTATATATTCTATAGGATCTTAAAGAAGAATTCGTAAAGACCCAAATCTTTCCAGCTATTCAAGCCAATGCTGTTTACGAATCCGTCTATCTCTTGGGTACATCCTTGGCTCGTCCTGTAATTGCCCGCAAACAAATTGAAATTGCTGCTCGTGAAGGCTGTCAATATGTTTCCCACGGTTGTACCGGAAAGGGTAACGACCAGGTTCGTTTCGAGTTGGCTTACTATGCCTTAAAGAATGATATTCAAGTCATTGCTCCTTGGAGATTACCCAGTAAGTGAATAGGTTTAAGCTGTATGTGATCTTATACTTATATATTTTATCAGTCTTTTTTGAACGCTTTGCTGGTCGTAGCGCTCTTTTAGACTTTGCTGCTGAGAAGGGTATCCATGTGAGTCAGACAAAGGCCAAGCCATGGTCAACCGATGAAAACTTGTTTCACATCTCCTATGAGGCTGGTATCCTAGAAGACCCTAATGTTACTCCTCCCAAGGAAATGTGGAAGCTCACGGTCGACCCAGAAGATGCTCCCGACAGACCTGAACGCATCACGATTACCTTTGAAAAGGGTATCCCTGTCAAGGTCGTCAATCACAACGACGGTCATGAAGAAACTGAACCTGTCAAGCTCTTTACCTACCTCAACACAGTCGCCCGTCGTAACGGAATTGGTCGTATTGATATTGTCGAGTCTCGATTTATTGGTGTCAAGTCGCGTGGATGCTACGAAACCCCTGGTGGAACCATTCTTCGTACAGCTCACCAAGATCTCGAAGGACTCACTCTGGATGGTCATTTGCGTGCTTATCGTGATCAAAACATTACTATTCCTTATGGTCGCGCTCTTTACAACGGCCAATACTTTTCACCTGAATGCGACTTTTTGAGTAAAGCAATTCCTTTGACACAAGTCAATGTGACAGGTGATGTCAAGTTGAAGCTCTATAAAGGTAATACCATTGTCGAAGGTCGTATCGCTCGTGGACCTGGTGCCAGATTATACGATATGCAAGAATCATCTATGGATGAACAAGGTGGTTATAACCCTGAAGATGCTAATGGTTTCATCAAGTGTCATGCTATTCGTCTCAAGAAGTGGACTCCCCAATAATAATATATGCATATATACATATCCCCTCATTTTTGTGTTGATAGAGTAAAATAATAAAAAGAACCCCTTTTGTGTATACATTAAAGCTGTTTCATTTCATAAACTGAAGCACCCAGTCACCTTAGAAAACATAGCCTATCTCCTAGCTTTTGTGCTATTTCAAACCCCAATCTTTACAAGTATATTTGAATAATATAGAAATCAAAGTCTCTTGGTATTTTTTAGATGTCAAAATACTGATATATTCATTCTGACCCATAATACCATCTATTACCATCAAAGGTCCAAAGCTTCCAGCCCAAAAGTAGCCCCAAACCATAACACCATCATCATCCCACTTCACATTTGGAACAATATGCTCCATCTGGTGCCGCTCTCCATAACTCTGGCGCCTCCAACAGCGCCAGTGATGGAAAAAGGGTATTCATCAGACCATATCACGCTCTTAGGCCCAATGTAGCCCTTTTCTTCATGCGTTGCTCACATAAGTGAGGCTCATGAGCTGTAAAGAGAGGCTGTGTCTTTGTGGACGTGGATACCCTATACTTCAACTCCAATTTCAGCTGTTCATATATTGTAAATGAGTTCCTTCTTATAATACGCTCCAAGTGTCTGGCTATCCGTTCATCAATTTTTTAGACATGCCTTGGTGCTTTTGAGATAATGGACAACCTCTGTTCTTTATTCTTTCTATTATATTTTGTACAGTTGACTTCGCCACTACCAACGATACTTGAAACATTCTAAAGGAATACCATAGCATATATGTATTTGACGTTGGTGTAGCTATATTTTTATAATGCTTTCTTTTCAAGTACAATCAAGGTAGGCCAGTGCTTTTTGTTACAAGCTTCAATATCGCCAAAGCTCTTTGAAACAATTTGGAATAAGTCTCTATCAGCTAACTAAGGTCTTTTGTTGAAAATCGCTATTGAAGAATATTAGCCAATAAAACGTCATCATTTGCATAACTGACTGTTAACGCTTTAAAGAATTTTTGACCTGCCTCTTTTTTCCCCTTTTTTTCTTTTTCTTTTCTTTACAGATACTCCTTGCTTCTTTTCTCCCTGCAAGGATGCTTTGGCCTTGACTCTGTTCATCCTTTAGAGGACTGAACACGCTCTTTGTTCACACTGTAATCTCAGTACGGTCATGTTGGTGATTCAAGTGACTTGCAGATTTCTGAGCTGGCTACACTTGTGTGATTAACCGCTTTGCCCGTTATCTGTGAACAGAGAAGCGCTCTCTAAGTGTGGCTACTCGAATAAATGCTTATGCTGTTATCAGGCGGTACCGAACCAAAAGCCATTTTAGATAGTTTGCTGAGTCAAGGCCATCTTCTGAGCTTACGAGACGATTGGTAGACGAGGTTGGGAGCCTATTGATAGCCATCTATTGGCAGTCTATCAATTCAAATTTGTTTGGGGGTTTTTCAACTTGTACTTTCTAGGTTTTTCAAATGTATAAGTTCAGTCTTGATACATCACTCCTTTTTACAAGGTATATGCACCATTGACATTCAGTGTATATCTTTCTTTTTTTGGGATCATATATACTCTTACCTTCCCGTGGTTGATCCTGTTAGTCAAGCCTTTATTGTCTTGAGAACTGAAAGGAGTACGCTTTTATTGTAAACAAATGTAAATGAAAAAATAAGTTTGATATCTTTTTAAAACACGTAAAATGACTTGAGGAACTTAATATATGACTCTATTCAAATGAGAAATTTTGAGCACGATCTCTTTTACTATTTACCTGTAGCATCTTGTAATAGTATCAACTCACTTCTTTTATGAGCATCGTAACTTGAGTCTGTGAATTTTGTCAAACTGAGGAAAAAAAAAACTATTTTAAATAGCGAAAAACTGTCAGCATCACTTTTTTTTAATTCTGCGGCATTATTTAATTCTTTTTACATATATACCCAAAAAAGCGTCTTTTTATGATGGGAAGAAGAAAACATTACATGGACGATGGTGATGATTCTTCTGATGAAGAAGGAGGAAGAATAAGCTTTGATATTACAGAAAACGATCTCATGGAAGAAATGGAAGGATTTTCTGGATTTCGTCGAAAACGAAGGCACACAGACGATAGCGATGAAGAAGAAGAAGAAGATAACGCACGCATCAGTTTAGGATTCGGTACTTCTTTTCAACCTGCCAAACAAACATCACAACCACAAACACCTAAGAATGACAAACCCATCAAGTCAAGATCGGCTACTCCAGCACCTGATCCCGGCTTTGCCGAATTCAACAAGCATTCTAAAGGTGTTGCTCTAAAAATGCTCGAAAAGATGGGTTGGAAAATGGGCCAAGGTCTTGGTGCCTCTGGTGAAGGTATTGTGAACCCTATAGAAGTAAAGCAACGACCGAAAGGTATGGGCTTGCAGTTCAGAGGGTTTGATGAACGTACGGACCAAACAAAGGTCGAAGCCAAGTTGAAAAAGGGTGAGCCACTGTCTGACGAAGAAGAACTAAAACCCAAACGAGAAGCTTGGAAGAGTCAGAGGAAGCGAAAGCCAAAGGCAGTTTACAAGACGGCAGCAGAGGTTGTTGCCGAAATACAACAACAACAACAACAACCATTAACATCACAAAAGGTGTTGGATATGACAGGACCAGGAATTCGAGAAATTTCGTTAGCAGATATCAAGAGATCAGATTCTCCCACCCTAATGGAAACAACGACTCGATTGCCAGAACTAAGACATAATTTGCGTCTGATTGTGGATCTGGCAAGATCAGACCTGGAAAATCTGTCTCGAGAGAAACAGACGACGTCGTTCAAGATGACAGCGCTCAAAGATGAGTTAGATGCAATTGGAAAAAGTATGGATAGCAATAGAGAAAGATTTAGAAAACTAGAAAAGATCAAGGAAATAGCTTCTGATCTAGAAAGGATTAGCAAGGATGCCTTGGCAACAGGAGCTTATGAAGCAGCAAGTATCACGGCATTATTTGGAGAAAAGTTTGATATATTGGAAAAAGAGTTTTCACTAGAAATCAAAGAGATGAACTTGGATGCACTTGTTGTGTCTGTGTGGGCACCCATTTTAAAATATCGAACAGTTCATTGGAATGTCCTGGATGACCCTTCCTGGGGCATAAGCGATTTCAAACGCTGGAAGAGATTATTACCTAGCAACGATGACGATGAATCAGAGTGGAGCTGGACAAGGAATGGAAGAGTACCAAAACAAAAACTTATTTGCACTCCTTTTGAGACAATGATGAATACTGTCTGGCTTTCCAAGGTCCGCAGTACGATCAATAATCAATGGGATATACATGATCCTGAACCGCTTGTTCAGCTCATGAGTGAATGGGAGCCGGTGCTACCAAGGTTTATATTTGAAAACATCATTCAGCAATTGATATTACCCAAGATTGTCCAAGCTGTTCAAGACTGGAATCCACGAACAGATGAAGTGATGATACATACGTGGATACACCCCTGGCTGCCCATATTAAAGGCATGGCGACTAGCTGACTTGTTTACAACCATACGTCAAAAGATGGCCATTGTGCTAAGGCAGTGGCATCCCTCAGATGAATCAGCGCTGCATATCATCTTACCTTGGAAGGATATCTGGACGAGTGAACAAACTGAACAGTTTGTCCTCAGGTCCATTCTACCGAAACTGACAAATACATTAAGAGACGAGTTCGAAGTAAACCCAAGGAATCAGGAACTAGATTCACTCGTCTGGTGTTTGGCTTGGAAAGACATGCTGTCGCAAACAGTCCTAGGGCAGTTGTTAGAGAACGAATTCTTCAATAAATGGCTACATGTGCTCTTTCAGTGGCTCTCCTTGGACATAACTCAAGTGAATTATGACGAAATCAGAACATGGTATCTCTGGTGGAGACAACTCTTTGACTCATACGGTCTTAATACGAATAGACATGTCATGAAGGGCTTCAAGGATGGTTTGGATCTGATGAACAGAGCACTGAATGATGAACTTGGTATATAAATTTTAAACACAGAATAAAAAAAAAAGTTAGCCACGCGCTTGCGCGAATATAGAAAAAAAAAAAAAAGGACCGCGTTTTAAACAACTTGTCTTTTTCTTACATTCACATCAAAAAAGTCAATCAGCTCCATTGATGGTCAGGATCACAGCCAACTTGTATGAAGAGGCATATGACTACATTAGACAAGATTCAGCACATGGGAATTGTGTCATGCTTGTTGCTGCTGATGTCGATTCCCTTTGTGCAGCACTCATGCTCCAAGTAAAGAAAAGAAAGAAAAGAAAAAGAAAAAATAAACACATTCTCCTCCCCTTTTGCTCATGATTAGCATGTTAGAATTTATTGAAAAAGGACATGATCGCCCATAAACTTGTACCCGTGTCAGGGTATCGAGATCTCGAACGTGCAAAAGAGCAGATAATAGAAAAGGACGAAGATGTAAGGATTGAAATAAGGAAAACAAAAACTCATAATAATGTATAGCTGGTGTCGATAATTATGATCAACTGTGGAGGATTGATTGATGTTAAGGAGTTTTTTGACATTGAAAGTTATACCAAAATATACGTATTCGATAGTCACAGACCACTGAAGCTGGAAAATATTCATCATAACAACATAAACGTGTGTGTATTTGACGATGATAGAGAAACAGAAAAGCTTGAAAAGGTTCTGGAGGCATTTGAATCACTAACGGTAAAGTGAAGCAGCATTTAAACAAAACGAGGAGCGTAATACCAACTATGGTTATAGTATAATTCAGAGGATAATTCAGAAAACATGGATTCTGACAGCTCGGATGAATTATTAGAGAATACAAGGTCGAAACGTAGAAGACTAGATGAGGATCAAGTACGACTATGACATGTCTATGCTTTACATTCAATAACCCTTTTGTATGTAGGATCTGTCGAGATCAGCACGAATAAAAAAAAGAGCGCAGAGTAATTTACTAATGAACTATTACACACAAGGGGCCTATCACGCCAATTCGACAGCAGGGATTGTTTATGATTTGGCAACTAAGCTCTCCAAAACAGACAATGATATGCTATGGCTTGCTATCATTGGTGTTACATCACAGTACCTGCATGAGAAAATAGATACCACAGAATATATCAGAAGTGTCAGAGTATTTAGAGATGATACAGCCCGGTTAAATTTAAGTACAGATGAAGAAATGGCCGTAATCAATAATGAAGGAGAAATTAGAATAGAAGATGAATATCGATTCATGTTCTTTCGACATTGGAGTTTGTATGAAAGCATGTACTATTCTAGTTATGTTGTTAGCAAATTAGGTCTGTGGAACCCAGAAGGTGACAAAAATTTGAATAGACTTCTTGCTCAAATGGGGTAACGAAAGAGGGAGATAGAAACTTATCAACACATATCACTCACATTTCTTTAATACAGCTTCCGTTTAGAGCAATGTAAACAGATATATACCCACATGGATGTAGATTTAAAAGATAGGCTTAGAACAAAAATAGAAGAAATATCACCACGATTTGGCCTGACAGAACTCTGCTACCCAAGTTTTACACGCGGCTATGATCGAAAATGTGTATTATCAGCTGCAGACATTGTCTATGCAATCTCAGCCCTATTAGAAACAAGTCCTACGACGGCCGTCCATTTTGGCGCTGAAGGTACATGGACAGAGAACAGAGACTGGAGAGATATGCTTGCGAATGATGCTGCCGATGATGCAACCAATGAGAAACGTCGGTGGTGGGTCAAAAACTTTTATAAAGCCTATGATGCTCTCGGTAAGCAATCTTCAGAGATGGTCCTACATGGCATAAGGATCTGTATGGAAACGCAACAGGCCATCGCAAGACAAGTATTTGCGGCCATCAGTAAACGGTTGATCAAGAAACACAATAATTGTTGGATCATGGTTGTCGATGGTGGGCCTGATTTACCTGTGTTTGGACATCAATTGACTCTCTTCAGAATGGGATTGTTCGCATTAGATATACTTAGGGTACACTACAAGATAAATATCTCAAAGCGCGTACTAATCTCTTTTTAAGACAACAAGCGCAAGGCTTAAACCACTTATAGTAACATCGCTGGACGAAGTACATAATGTCTATATATTTACTTCCATGGTAGCAGCGCCCGCATTTGGAGAAACAAGACGAAAGTAAGTGCATCTTCTCTAACGAGAGCTCATAACTAATCGCTGAATAGCAAATTTCCTTTAGCATTTCAGAAATTGGAAGAGAAGGGACTATTTGTAATAGATAGCTTTGATCTTTCATCATTTGAACTGAAAAGAGATGCATTCGTGAACGCGATTAAAGAAATAAAATACGAGTAATATTTATTCTGCCTTTAAAGCCTTCTCAGCCTTCTTGATCGATCCTTTGTCTGTCTTGGGCTGTTTCTTTTCGCTTACTAAGCCAAAAGGTGCTTCAATTCTAAATGGACGTCTCAAATCACCTGTGGCCTTAGCGCCCCAGATGTGAAGACGTGCTTCTTTTGTCATCAAAAAGGTCTTGAAGCCGAGAATGGATTGAACCAATAAAGGTTGAATGTAGCCAAATTTAAGATGAATGAAGGCGATGAGGGCGATGCCAACAAATGATTGCTTCATTGACTTTTTAACTTCATTAATGTCGTATTCTAATCAAAGTTAGTTTCGTCAAAAACTTGTACAATATATAATTACCCATCACTGTCGTATTCACCAGCTGATCTGGTGTCTCGGTTCCATCCCAACTTTGGGCAGCAGGTTCAACATACTTTAATATGGTTTGGTCTATTAAAAGTTAGTTGTGTATACATACTTGCTTGATAATAGCTTACCATTCTTATTCTTGATGACATAGATCAAGTAAAAATGAAGACCGAGAATTACGAATTGAGCAAACAAGTAAAGAAAACGAAGAGATTGAACATGATTATCGAGATGTAGAAACTTGGATAATTGTTGAAAGAATATAAAGGAACCAATACCAAAGTAAGGTGAATTTAAAAACTTGACAACTTTTGACATTACAAAATATATAAAGAGAGGAGGGAACTGGGGGCGAAATGAAGGCAAATGACAATTGAAATGGGGTGTCAATAGTGGCACATTTTCTTGTTGTATAAAAACGAATATTTAACCTCAGGCAACCGCCTTTAGATAATCCTGCCAATTCCTTTACTATTTTCTCCTTCATCTTGTTCAACCTTTAACAGCAAAAATAAGATAATCTTAAATTTAAAATAATTGTCTCAGAAAAGTAAACAACAATAGATCATTTGTCTATCATGAAAAACTAAATAAAGTAAAGATATTCGTTTAAAGGAACAAATTTAAGTTTTATCTATTTCACAATGACAACCGTGTAAATGGGGCACACTTAAGTCACCACGGAAATGAGATATAGGATCCCAAGGGCCAATCAAAGTGGCTGTGCGATGACACCCTCACCACCAAAGGCTCCTCCTCTCGTCACAGATAGATGCCTTGATAAGATTTTGTAACCTGATTCAATATATGTTATCAGGATTGAACGAATGCTTATAGCTGCATTGACATTCCTTTGTCAGACCTGTTATTATTCTCATTAGGGCTATTTTCGCTTGTTTTATGGACAAGTACTTACAATGTCTTGACCATTACCAGCTGGACACAGTTTGCATTGTTTCAACTGGTAAATGACAGGCGGGAAACCTATAGGCATAGCTTAGCATCAATCAAACTTAATTCCATATATTATACGACTTACTGCTTGGCTTTCTTTCTAAACACTCTGAAGTTTGGCAGATGACATGATTGCCATTGTCCAAGCAATGCTATGCAACATTCTTTTGTCCTTTTAGCCACAATCTTCTTTTTCCTGTGCTCCATACTTTTGGCCCAACTTCCTATGACATTTGTAATAAGTAATACTTGTTCGAAATTCATTGGCAGGGATAACAATTGCTTTTTTTGCCAGTGCCCTTTGTGTCCTCTGTGTATAAACGAGATCATTAGCACGTATGATTAGTTAAAGGTTTCATATTAGTATACCTTTATTGGTATAGGTGTATACCCCTTCTTCGTTCCTGATTAGCCTGCATCGTCATATACAATCGCTGTTCTTCTGCCATCATCAGCCTGATTTGTTTGATTGCTCTTTTTAAAGGATCTTCTTGCTTTCTGCCTTGTTTTTGTGCCTGTCCTATGCGCCAGCGTGCAAGGGGCTCCAAGAGAGGTTTTTGCCAGCACAAGTTGGCACATGTAATCGCCTGTAATTTGTTGATTACTATACAAATATCCTTTTGTTTCACGATGCCTGTATCCCTTCATAAAGCAAAATATTCTATACATTGCAAGAGTTAAGCACGGTAACATGAATCACAGAACTACTTGCTTTTTGCGATATTTGGATAGTACTTGCAAATAATCTGGGATTGAACTGCTGTTCCTACTGTCTAAACTCGATATTTCATTGTACTCTTTATTGTTTTGATTTAAAAAGGAGGATACCTTACACTTCTGAGTAAGGTAGCTTTTATCAGGCTGTAATGAAATGCCTTCTAGCGAAGATTCAACTTGTGTTTTTTTTTGTCTTTTAGACTTGGGTGTGGAAGAGGCTGGTGTTGATTTTTTGGCTATATTGAAATTGAGCTTCAGAGGGAAGTGATTCAATGTCGTGGATCACTTACGTGGCATTTGGTTAAATAAAAGAAGAGAAAAGCAAATTCAACAACTTTAACAACAGTATTTGTGTTATTGTTGTTAAATGTGAAGTTAATTAATCATTGCTGATATATGAAAGTAGTAACAACAATTGCATTTTGACGACAAATCAAAAGATTTTCCTTTGCTATACCAGAAACAGCAACTATCTCACGGTACTTTGCTTATATTAACTCGTGGTAGTGGTCATGCAGGCTTTGTCATCCCTTTCACTTCTTTTTACTGCTATCCAAGTAACTTTGGGTACCTTATTGTTGTCTTTATTGGAGAATTAAAAAAGATGAAACGAGAAGTTTGATAAACTTCATGATGAAATGAACTTTAAATATGAACGAATTATCATCATTGATACCACTAAATATTGTAGTTTGTTCTTAATACCCTTATCCATATTTGGCCGGAGAACCTTTGACTTTCACTGGAAACATAGCAAGAAACAATACTACTTACAAGGGCATGATGGCCGCACTAAAGGGTTTGATGTATGAGAGAGCAAAGAGTGTTATTTACTCAGAAGCTTTTATAACTCCAAAAAACTATTGGTGAGCATACAGAGCTCATGATGTACCTTTTGAATTATCTTAAATATAACAAGTTCATACATTGATCTGCTGCTTACTAGCTGTATATTTTTACCAACATGGAATGCAGTATCTACGTGGAAAGCTGGTACAACCAACTAAAAACAAGCTACTTACAAAGAAAGAAAAATAGAAAGCTGGATCGCTTAACCTTTATCTTGGTTGATAATGTTCATACCGATTTTATCCACAACACCACAAGGATGGCTGCTAATATCGAACGTATGAGCTCAAAGACTAGAGAGGCAAGAGAGAAAACGAATGCAGCAGAAGAAATCAATGAGCTGTCATTAGAAGATGTGGTGCAGAAAGTGTATATTGATGAAGAAGCTTGTTATATTGTCAAGTCTCTCACGACAGAAGTTGTATACGATATATCAACTAAGCAAGGAATGATGACTGCATGTAACTGTATAGACTTTCAACGAAATAATAGTGTCTATAATCATATGCATTTGGTTTATCGCTTCGATAAAAGCTGTGTGGTTTACAGCCAAGATAGGTTATCACAATAGTAATAAGAGAAATGCTACAGTGTACTTATATTACATAGGAATTGACTCTAGCTTGAGAATTCATACTATGGGTGGGACAGCACTCATCCATAATACTGTAGAGAATGATCATAGTGAAGCAATTGCTGAAAGCTCTGATGTGCTTCAATCAGAAGTACCATCTGAAGCTGGAAGTAGAACAGATGTGTTGACAAGCACCACGAATGTATGCAGACAGGCTTTAGAAAGTCGTATACATTTAACTTCTGAAAATAACAACAGACTGTTACAAATATATAATGAATTAAGACAGTTGTTGTCAGTTAATGAAGAGATGCAGCTTCCACCAAATATAAATATGCAAACACAAAGAAGATAAAGCATAAAAGTTCAGAAAGGGGGGGGGCAAAATAAGTAAATCCGTATAAATGTGTAACGTCATAATGAGCCAATCATCTTGATAGCGCTTTTTTTCTCACAATGCACACACACGCATAGTGTGTGTTTATATGCGTCATGTTTCCCCTTTTTTTTGCCTTTTTCTTTTTCTTTTTCTTTTCTTTAAAAAAATGTCTTTTCCGAGAGATTCTTCCAATGCTTCATTAAGCAATAATACTAGTCACTTTAGCTTATACGCGGAATCATCTTCTACTCGTTCTGCTGACTCTCCTAGTTTACCACGTAAACACTCGGATAGCACTTGCTCAGAACCAACGTTTTCCTTTGTTCCTCTTAGAGCGTAAATCAAATCTATCACATTTACGATATATAATAACATTTTAATAAAGTAGTCATAGTCATCATCATTCTCGTCAAAGTAGCCTAAATCAAACTGTCGTCCAACGTGACAAGAGTGCTGACAGCAATGACCCGTTTAGACTAATAAGGATGGCACCTAACATCATCAAGATGAGAAAGGGAAGTGTACTAGCTAGAAATACGATATTGAAGATGGATCATTTCTCGAGTGGTAAATGATAATATCATACAGTTCTTATCTTATTCTCCATCTTAGGAACCAATACCAATCTCGACTTTCATCTCCAGGGCGCACCTAATTTTCGTGTAGCAGACCTTAATGTCTATGGTGTTGCTCAACCGACGGTAAAACTGATAATTATAGCCCCTATATTCTCTTATCGTTTCTATTTGATAGGTAATTGGCTTATCTACCATACTGGCTATATTGAATTGTCATCCAAAGAGTTCAAACTCAGTGTCTTGCACATGGTAAGTAATGGCACTATCTCTTTCTCTAATATTGACCATCTACCACACAGGTTTTCAACTCGTGAGGAGCCCTTGGGTAATATCCAAATAATAATATATACATTGTATCATCTCATTTACATCTACATATGCATATTATATATAGTCTATTTGAATGGGATACCCTATGTATTACGTGAATTTGCAGACCCATTACAAAACATGCGCGCATTTCTCGGAATAAACTCTGTTCGATTAGAGAAGGTAGAGGAAAGACTAAAATCAGATGTCATTAAGGAATCAAGAACTTTGGGTGGATTGATTCTCGTCCATCAAGAACTACGTAAGTTTGATATTTTATTAAACAACAAGATAACTCAAATAATTCAAAAGCGGACGGAACAATCGTACCGTGCTACATTGCTGCCGATAAAGTTCAGACACCAAAAGAAGGTACAGGACAAGGGTTTAAGGATGCGGCGTGAATTAAAACTGTGTGTGATAGTGTTCCAAGAATTTCAACAACAAGGATTTAGATTAAAGTATTTTCGTATTCCAATCTCGCCTGAACAAGCACCAGAGGATAACTACTTTGATGAATATATTCATGTCATACGCAATTTAGAGCCAACGGATCCACTCATCTTTAATTGTGGTATAGGAGCCGTAAGAAGTAAGTCTTGTAAATAGTAGCACTGTTTGATGACTCATCTTTTTTTTTTTTTTGCAAAAGCAACGGTTGGTGTTATTATCGGACAGATAATCAGACGTACTCAACTGATCGAAAGAGGCCATCCGGATCCATTTCCTATCTCGGGTTGGAGTTATACTGATCCAGGTAGCCCATCAGACAGCATCAACAGATTTGTGGTGAAAGAATTAGAAGAGGCAGATCATTTAAATGCTAAAAATAATGCATTACTTCGGCTGATTCTCTTGCTTGAACAAGGTAAGTAAACTTGTGAGCTCCACCTATTTATATATATATTTACTCTTATTAGCTCTCAACTCTAAGCTGACATCCCATTCAGCTATACAGTGGGTAATGCAAAGGGGGTCACTGATTGAAAATTTGAAAGAAGCAGTGATGGGTAACTATCAGTCCATAGTATCATTAACAGCATTGCTTGAAAGTGGCGTATACAGTAAAAGGTTACTAGATACTATCATTAATAAATGTAAGTCTATACCATGTCTATATATTCTTGCTCATACTTTCTCTCTATTCCCTTAAGCGGACGATGTTGTCAACCTAAGAGAGGATATCCTAATGAACCGCATACGTCAAATCACAGAGGTATCATCTGCAAACTATAACGAGAGCAACTATCTGTCCAAGGCCTTAAATGGTTTACAACGATACTTCTTTTTACTCTGCTTTACTGCATATGTTAATGAATCGCCCAATACCAAGTTTGAGCAACGATTCTCAACCTGGGTAAGAGCTAGAACAGAAGTATGGGCCATGCTTCAAAACATGCGTCGAAAAGGTCCTCGTCTTTATTTCTTTCGCCCTGTGGAAGATCTGCATCAATTAGCCACACATCATCAAAAGAAAGTGAGTACAGGCATGTTTGATATGGTAGCCGCGGATGATACGACGATAGAAATGGAAAACGTTGTGATTAATGTGAGTTCCTTCTATATTTATATAACCCAAGATGACTCACTTTTCTTTTTATTTTTAAAAAAAGGCAAGAACAGGTCTAGTCTTAACATCACAAACCATTCTTAAAGTTGACTTTTGGCACTACGGATATCTCAAGGACGCGTCTCAAAATCAAGAAAGACATCATCGCTTCGTTATTGACGGAGCGTCCAACTTCAGAAGAGTTGAAAACACACACGTTTATGGAGTTGCTCAACCTACAGTCAATGGATTACGGCAAGTAATTCGAAATCTGCTCAACTCAAGCGAACGCATACTGTGGATCAATCTACGAGAGGAACCCATCATTTACATCAACGGCATACCCTATGTGCTACGAGATCGAGCCTTTACCCTGAGGAATTTGCGAGCCTACAAAGGAATCACTGGTTCACGTATGGAACAGCTTGAGGAAAGACTGAAGGAAGATGTGATTAAAGAGGTGATGCAATGTGGTGGTAGGATCTTACTGCATGGAGAAGATAGTAACGGAAATGTCTTGTCTTCCTGGGAGGATGTTGATATTCAGGATATCATGACAGTACGTGAGGTCATGGAGTTTGCTGCACTCGAAGTCAGGCAGACCTATGACTCTTCAGACGATGATAGCGACAATACCAAGCAACCAGCCGTCAGTCACATCTTGGAGTATTACCGTGTACCGATCACTGCAGAAAAGGCACCAGAATGGAGAGACATTGACGACTTGCAAGCTCTCGTAGCAGGTGTTGATCATTCAAAGACGGCGATTATCATGTAATATTTTATTTCGGTCAGCTAAAGTTCTAAATTAACCACTCTTCTTTTTTTTTTCTCAATATAGGAATGATCAAGTGGGTTTGGGAAGATCTACAACGGGTACGATCATCGCTACCTTGCTCACTCGTTGGATCCGTCCCAAGACACAACAAGTAGTGCGATCTCCTTCCTATTACCCTAATTATCAAATCATCAACAGTTTGCTAAGAGTTATCAAGCGTGGATTGGAGAATAAGCAAATTGTTGATTACACGATGGATCAATGCTCTATTGGTGCTCGTCAGTTGCGCGATATTATCGAATCAGCACGTGTACAGGCTGAAAAAGAAAAGGAAGAAGATCCTAACCAGTTCAAACGAACGGTAAAGCGAGGCATTACGGCACTTGAAAGGTACTTTTTATTCATCTGCTTTCAAGCTTATCTGGATGGTACTTCACCCTCTCTTGTGAACGAAACGGAGAGCTTCAGTCATTGGATGGAGCGTCATCCTGAATTAAACACCATCCTGGACGATTTACTGCACGCCAGTGAAGAGGAACAGTTTAGGTCACTCATGCCAGTGGAAAAATCATTGACTGGAGATGGCATAGCGCTGTCAAGCGAGGTCATGAGTGTCGTCAGCCGTCGACACGGTCAAGTCTTGGCTCAACAGACCATCCTGAAGCATGATGCATTTCCTGGTTGTCAAAAGATGAGCCTTAAAGAGAAGATCCCTGGAGCTTACAACTTTAGACGTGTCGAGATCAGTAAAATCAAGTCAGCTGTCAAGTACGGGGGTATGGCTGCTACTGTCGGCGGATTAGCAGCAGACATGGAGCGTAGTGATGAAGATCCCCTGACCGCTCCTTTTATTTGTGGATGTGCTATGCCAAATAAGGATGCTGTCAAATCCATCTTGAAGGCGATGCAAGCGGGCCCAGGAGGTAAACGACGAGTGTTATGGACCTGCTTACGTGAAGAACCTGTAATCTATGTCAATAAGAACCCATATGTCTTGCGGCTCTTTATAGATCCTCTGAAGAATCTGGAAACAACGGGTATCTCAAAAGAACGGGTTGAGAGCATGGAAGACCAGATGAAGTATGAAGTATTGCAAGAGCTCAAGGAGTACGATGGCAGAATATTGCTTCATGATGAGGAAGCTGGAAGCTTCAATTTGATGGTAAAAGCCCAGACAATAGAATCATACGTAGCTTGGTTTATTAAGTTTGTTTTATAGCCTGTTTGGGAGACAGTACCTCCAGAGGAAGTAGAAACCCCCGGAGAAGTATTTGCATCTATTCGTGCAGAAGGATACCAAGTGGATTATCTTCGAATTCCAATGTAAGCTTAAAAAATCTACTCAATATGCACCTTGGCTTATTTTGCATGCAATGACTATAGAACAGATGAACAAGCACCTATACCTGATGTATTTGATCAATTGATACAGAGAATGCAAGAAGCAAATCAAGGATATGATATCATGTTCAACTGTCAAATGGGGTAAAAAAGAAGGAATATTAAACTGTCAAAGTGTACTGATTAACTTTTGATAGACGTGGTCGCACTACAACAGGCATGGTTGTAGCATCTTTGTTGTCCATGATATTAAGTAACGACGCTATTGGGGATATGACGGACTCGTTCATGGTTGATAGTAGCAGTAATGTCAACACCATCATGTTTTCTTTACAGTCAGATGAAGAAATAGACGAATCATACGAAGAAAGAGAACGTTTTGAGAATGGCGAATACAGAATCATCTTACAGCTTGTTAGTGTACTCAGTTATGGTAAATTAGCCAAACGACTCACAGACCAAGCGATCAATATGTGCGACCATATGCAAAATCTGAGAAAAGCTATCTATGACTACAAATTGCGATTGGAGACCATGACTGACCATGGATCTAAGAAATGGAAATCCGTTCATGAAGTGGCCATGAACTATCTCGTGCGTTACTTTTACTTGATTGTCTTTACGAATTATCTCTTGGAAGAAATGGGCTCTATCAAGGGCGAAGAAGACGATAGTTCTTTCAAGGAAGCAAAGAAATTGACTACCTTCAAAGAATGGTTGAAGAATCGTAGAGAAATTGTAAATATCATCTCTTTACAATCCTTTGATCTATGCTAGATTTTGATGATTCCAAGCATAAGAATAAAATAAAATTGTGTACAGCTTTGATTGTATGAAAATAAATATTGTTTATTATTATTGTAATCTAGTGACAAATCACATGTATTGGCTTAGGCAAAGAGTTTTGCATAGGCATTCTTTTCCTTTTGCTTTTTAGCAGCCAATTTAGATTTAGCATTGGTAAGTTCTCTCTTGATACCAGCATCCTCTGGATCTTGCTCATGTGCCTTTTCGAAATCTTCAATTGCGCCTTCAAAGTCCTTTGTGTTGACCTTGGCCATACCACGACGGAAGTAAGCCTTGGTGATGTCTGTCTTCTTCAAGTACTTGGGATCATACTCCAACACTGTTGTTGTCACCTTGATACAGTCACTATTGTTACCAAGCTTGAGAGCACACATTGCTCTGTTAAGATAACAGGGAATTCTGACACCTGCAAACTTCTCACGAAGCTCTTCAGGATCTGTGTCATCAAATGCAGGCTTTTCGTTAAGATAGCGGATAGCTTTGATGTATTTCTTTGAGGCGTTCTCATGGTCACCCTTCTTGAAGTATGTGTTGCCAATATCTTTGAGCTTACTGGCAATTTCTAAAACATCGTTGGGTTCCTTTGAACCTTCATAATCATCTAGAGATCAACTGTTGTTAGTCTTAAAGTATTGTTACAGACCCTTCTCTTTTTTTTTACCTGGATATTCTTCATAGTTGTCTCCATCAGCATTTTCAGGAATACCATCGTCTTCTCCTTCGGCAAGCTCGCCACAGTTGACAATCACAGCATCCTTCACAGGTTTATCCGAGACAGTTTCTAAATTTTCCAAAGTACGGACCACGCCTTTACCTTTCAGAACTTTACCAAACACGACATGCTTGCCATCTAAATGTGGGGTAGGAACAGTTGTAATAAAGAATTGAGATCCATTTGTTCCAGGGCCAGCGTTTGCCATGGACAACAAGAATGGTTTGTCGTGCTTTAGTTCAAAGTTTTCATCTTCAAACTTTTCACCATAAATAGATTCACCGCCCGTACCGTTACCAGCTGTAAAATCACCACCTTGAACCATAAAATTCTGTTTTTTTTTTTTTTTTTTT